CGTACGCACAACTTAAGAACAAATCTGTGCGTACGAACGGTTCTTGCATGAGGCCCAATGGTTCTAAACCAGCAGGGTGTTGTTTTAGCGGTCTGTTCTGCCCATTTCCTGCATGGAAAGTGAATGCTCGATTGTGCTGCATAGTTTTGATTCATTGGAATTTAGTTTGTTTGCTTGGATAAAGTGTTTGTCCTGACCCTGGGTGTTGTGTCCCGGCTCACCTTATAAACAACTGATGGTGTTTTTGGTTCTTGTTGATTGGCTTGCAGCCGGGGCGGAGTGAGCGAAGGCCTCGCAACGCAGATAACCTTTTCCACATTTCCTGTAGAGACGTCCTTGTTTTAAGTCTTGTTCTTTTTTTCCCCTCAAAGTTTGTCCAACAGTCAAAGCTGAATGAGTCGGGGAATGAATGGTGTTCTGAGGCCTCCCAACGACTTCCTACGGGATGGTTATGAATGAAGTTTGAGGCCAAAAAAAAGGCAACTCTTTGTTTCTGACTGCTGTGTTGCATAATTTGACAGAAAATAGAGGCCTTTTTGTGCATTATCATGGGAGGGTGCTTCAGTCAGGCTCAACATAAATGTTTCTTGTGCTCATTTGATCAGCGGAACACGAGTCCACCGTTTAACAAGTAGGTGGGAGTCACYGACGGTCGGCACTTTTAGAGAACCAAAACGAACGGACAGAAGAGTTTTCGTCARGGTTTAGCCTCTCGCTGACTCGGGGTTCGGAGCGTGACGAACTCGCTGTGATTTCAGCTCCGGTGGAGAACGGAAACTCAGAYGCGGACATGAACACAGAGGAGGAGACGTGGGAGCAGAAGGAGGAGCCCGGGGGAGGCGAGGGCGGCGGAGGACAGGAGGGCCCGACGGGGACTGGAGGAGGCTGCGAGGAGGGAGGCGCCGCGGGGAGAGAGGATGAGGAGCTRATGGAGGAGGAAGAGGAAGAGATGCCTGTACCGAAAGTGGCTCCTCCGCCACCCGACGCACCCAAGAAAGAACACGTGAACGTGGTCTTTATTGGTCACGTAGGTGTGTGTCCTTCATACTATGTCTGTTTATTTAGAAAACGAGGATTGTTAAAAAATGTTAACTTATATTTTTGAACATCAGATGCTGGGAAATCAACTATTGGAGGGCAGATTATGTGAGTACTTCCTGTATTTGTTTTTTGTACTGCAAATCTGTGACTTTACAWATCACTACAGGGTTCCRGCAGATCCTTAAAAAGTCTGAAGTCAATGACTTCATCAATCCAAAAATAAGGCCTTAATTAGCCTTAAAATGCCTGAAATCAATCTTTCTGAAGTCTTAATGTTCACACATTGTAAATAGGATGATTGTAACTCATCTCAAATATTAAAATAATTGGTAAAAACGTTGTTTTTAAATATTCACATGCAGACATTCCGCTTTGACATCACTTCCTGTTATTTCACATGCAAATATCTCAACAACTGTCCATCTGAGCAATATGAAATTTGTTTTGTAATATGTTAATAATGTTGTCTTTCCAAAAATGCATTCACTTTTCTTACAAAAAATTGACGTCACAGGCACTTTAAGGTTTCATCTACAGCGAATAGGGGTTAAAACCACAATGTGGGTCATTAAAACTCCAAATTTTGGGTTGTTAGAGGATTTCCAGAAATTAAATTCAGTTTAAAACTGACTGCTAAGAACGTTTCTGTTATAG